GTTCACTTTCAAAAGCAAGCACTATATGGCAACCTAGCTTTAATTACAGCATATACACAGGATTTTAATTAGTTTTATATTTTAATTTAGCCTTTATTCAATTCAATTATCCAGTCTGATGGTCCATGAAACTTTCTAATTATCTCTAAGTCCATTAACAACAACTTTTAACTTTTTGCAGTTTGGTTATTTTTTTTATTAGACTGCCTAAGGGAAAATAAGCATTATATATGCTAAATTTTCCACTAACTATACATCTAAAATAATTAACTGAAAATATTTTTAATTGGTTACAAAGGGTCAAACAGGCTTGTACTTTCAAAATTAAAGACCATACAGAAACTGCATTACAATAATTTTTTAAATTGATATTCTCTCTTCAAACACAATCATTGTGATGTTGTACCACCTCTTCATCTCCGCTGCTGCTAAGTCACTTCAGTCATGTCCAACTCTGTGTGACCCCACAGACATCAGCCCACCAGGCTCCCCCGTCCCTGGGATTCTCCGGCAAGAACACTAGAGTGGATCTTCATCTCCACAGTTAAAACCAATTTAATGCTCACCATGGCATGTTCAACTATGTAAGATTTTTAACAACTCTCCAGGAACCATGCACGCTGAAATATCTCCCCTTATTGGATCTTTTTCTGATATACTGAGATAGCCACTAATCTTCATACAGGATGGATAATTTTTTTTCATCCCACTAAAAACTTTATTGAGATATAATTTATGTACCTTAAAACTCACCTAAACTGTACAATTCTGTGGCTTTATATATAGTCACAAGTGTACAACTATGACCACAATTTATTTTAGAACATTTTCATTACCTTCCCCCCCAAACCTCATACCCAATCACTTTCCCTTTCCTCTCCAGGATGGATAATTTTAAAACACTGCTAAATGTAGCCTACAAAGTAATCAGTTTACTCTATTCGTGCCCACACAATTGGCACATCTAAAAAGTCTGTCTGGCCTTGTCCAATATAGCAATGAGAGATAATATCCACCAACCTTACCTATCCAGAGGCCCACAGGGCCACAAAACGCAAATGTGTGCACAGGTACATGTACAAATTCATACATGCTACATACTCACTGAGGTGAATTAAACAGTAGTGAAATATTAATTCCATCAGCCACTGCTAATGATTTCTCTAATTTTGAATCCTCTAGTACAATCCTATTGTTAAACAGTTTTATCTTTCACTATTATATTATTCTCTCCTTTCCTTCAGCCCACAGGGTAAATTTGAATCAACTGAAAAATGTCTAAACATTAAAACAGCTCATGAAAATTATACAATAGCTAGGACATGGAAGCAACCTAGATGTCCTGCAGCAAATGAATGGATAGGGAAGCTGTGGTATATATACACAATGGAATATTACTCAGCTATAAAAAAGAACGCATTTGAGTCAGTTCTAATGAGGTGGATAAACTGGAGCCCATTATACAGAGTGAAGTAAGACAGAAAGAGAAACACCAATACAGTATATTAATGCATATATACGAAATTTATAAAGATGGTAACGACGACCCTATATGCAAGACAGTAAAAGAGACACAGATGTAAAGAATGGACTTTTGGACTATGTGGGAGAAGGCGAGGGTAGGACGATATGAGAGAACAGCACTGAAACATATTTATTACCATATGTAAAACTGATGACCAGCGCAAATTTGATGCATGAAGCAGGGCACCCAAAGGTGGTGCTCTGGAACAACCCAGAGGGATGGGGTGGGAAGGAAGGTGGGAGGGGGGTTCAGGATGGTTGGTTACATGTACACCGATGGCTGATTTGTGTCGATGTATGGCAAAAACCACCACAATACTGTAAAGTAATTAGCCTCCAATTAAAATAAATTAATTTAAAAAAAACAGTTCATGAAAATTAGAAAATAAATAGAAAAGAGGAACTCTACATCTTGTTAAGGTATAGAACAGGAAAAACTTCCACTTGAGCTGAAACAAAAACAAAATTCACCAAACACAAAGAAAAAAATGTTTCCCTTTAAAATCGGCCAAAAATGGCAAGTGCATGTATGCTCAGTCACTCAGTCGTGTCTGACTCTCCAACCCTTTGGACTGCAGCCTGCCAGGCTCCTCTGCCCAAGGGGTTCTCCAGGCAAGAATACTGGAGTGGGATGCCAATAGTGGATACAAAGAAAATTTTAAGAGAACTAACTCCAGAGAGACTTCCTAGATAAGCAAAGGATAGAGGACACTTTCAAACTTGAGTCCATTGGTTGAAATGGGTACAGTACAGGTAGAAGAGCAAGCCTGCTGGCAAATGATGGACTTTATTAGATGAAGATTTAAATCTTGGGTCTTAAGGATCCTGACATCCCTGGGAACTCATTAAACTGAAGTTAGTGTTTTAAAACTCAGAAATAACTGGTTCATCTAAACCAATAGTTGATGTCTCTTCCATCATTAAACAATAAAGTCTCACTGACATCCGTATTATAAATATTCATGCAGTTCTGATGAAAGAAAATGCAAAACGAAAGAGATAGTTAATAATAACCAATTTATGGTCAATCATAACTAATCACAACCTTATTGTGATTACTATTTAGGTTGTTTGCAAATTTCTTAAAAACAAAATTTAATCACATTTAAAGAATCTCATATTTGAATCTAAATGAGGTAAAAATGCCTGTCAATAAGCTCACACCTCAAAATCCTACAAAATTCCCTGAAAGAAATCTTTCATTAGTGACTCAGAAAGATTATAACCTCTCAGTAGACAAAAATGTCTACTTCTCTTTGTACATTTAAACCCAAAAGAGTTGTCATTTGCTCTCATGACCGCAACAAAATTAGAGATAGAAGCAAATAATCAATCACATTCTACTGAAATTACATATTTTACCGTTCCCTCTAGGTTTCAAGATGAAAGATGTCAGAATCGTGTCTGTTTTGCTCATTATACTGCCTACTAGGTACAACACCTGGCACCTAATAGGTATCTGTTAAATCCATATAGAATAAATGAGTGAGTGAATCTAGATTACTCTCAGTTCTAATGTCTATTTTATGGTTTTATTATATGAACCTATGGTTCTTTGGTTCAACAATTTTAAACAAAATGTAATCTAAACATATAGTAGTAATATTTGATAGAACTTTCCATAATGATAAAAAGGTTCTATACCTGTTCTATTCAATATGGTACTAACCACATGGTTATAAGCAGTTTAAATCTAACTAGTGTGAATGAGAAACTGAATTTTTACTTTAATTTTACTAATTTAAATTTAAAAAGTCACAGATTGCAAGGGGCTGCAATACTGCACAACACACAGAACATTTGTTAAGTTTAGGGAACAATATTTAATTAGAGACTGGGGCTCAGTGTTTGGAGATGCGTAGGGGAAGAATCACATTTTAGAATATGGACATGTAGAATTCTTGAATTTTCTAGTAGTCCCACCTTCAAAAAAATTATCAAGAGTAGATGGTATTTGAATCTGAGTTAAAATACAGAGAGATACATGTAGTTAATAGAGAAAGAAATACCTTGTATCAAGTTGCCTCCCAAGAACTGGTATCTGCCAATCAAGACTGAACCCAACTGTTTCTCCTCAGTGAAGTTTTCCTTCTCTACTTCTTCTGGAGCTCCACAAAACTTCTGTCAATACCTATAATACTGTATACGCCTCTACTATAGACTGTTTTAAGGTTTGTTTTAAGGTAACAAACTTCCTTAATGGAATGCAGACTATACCTTATTTTTGTGCAGAAGCTCACACCAGGCCTAATCCAGTACCTCACACATGGCTGGTCTTTCATGCATGGTTACTTGGTGAAAAAAGAATGAAATCTGGGGTCAAAAGAATCTGAGTTCTAGTTCTGTTTCTACCATATATTTAGTGATCTTGGGTCTAACACTTAATTGGTTATTCCCAATTCTTATTACAAATGTCAGTAAGATGAACATCTTTATAGAAACTATTTTCTTACGATCAGTTTCTGGATATGAAATTGCTGAGGTAAAAGGAAGAACTCTTAAGTACTACCAAATAGTCAGTAAAGAGACCACCTGCAATGCAGAAGACCGCTTGCAATGCAGGAGACCCAGGTTCGAGCCCTCGGTTGGGAAGAACGCCTGGAGAAGGAAATGGCAACCCACTCCAGTATTCTTGCCTGGGAAATCCCATGGACAGAAGAGCCTGGTGGGGTACAATCTATGGGGTCGCAAGAGTTGGACATGACTTAGCAACTAAACCACCATACCACCAAATATACCTGTAGCACACATCTCCCAACTTCACTGAAACCTCAACAATAATGACATAACATGCTATACTTTTGATTTATTCATATACCTTTCTATGCCTTTAATCCCCAAATAACTGACTTTGCTATATTCTTTTCCAGAGAGTTCCCCCACATTTGTGAGTCAACACAGGGTAATTTATTGGGTGAGGGGGTATGTGGGGGTGGTGAAAAGAGCATATTTGGGAGTGGTCCCCAGCAATGCCTATAATTCCCACACAAAAAAAGGAAAAGAGCAACCTATTATCAAAACCACCTTCTTGCTTATTAGAACCTGTACCGGAGAAGGTAAGAGCACAGATCTAGACTACAGGAGTCAGACTGCCTGGGTTCAAATTCTGGCTCTACAGATTTTCAAACAAAATGTTTAACTGCTCAAAACACTCAAGGTTTGTCATCTGAAAACGAAGACCAAACAGTCTTATCAAAGAGATGATGCTCAGTGAGTAATTTTAATGAAAAGCTTAGTAAGGGAAGAAAGTTAAAACAAAACACTACAGCAAGTTTTCATGGATTTTTCTCAGCCCTCATCATCAAGTCTCAGCCGAGAGACATGTAAGAGCTGTCTGCATGCTAGCAGCCTACATCACAAAAATGTCAGACCAGCACTCACCTGAATTCCTCCATTCCTTATTTGTGTACAATTAAGAAAGCACATTTTTTTACTTAGGTGAAACCAAAAGCAAAGACACAGGCCAGGACACCTACCTGGCAGTTCTACCCGCTCTGTGAATATATGTGTTGGCATCTTCTGGGCAATCAAACTGAAGAACCCAATTTACAGCCGGGAAATCTGCAGAGAAGGAACATCAAGTTGAAAAAGCAGTTCCAAGATCTGCCCTGCTGTACTATTTTTATTTTATAATAATGCTTGCCAGGGCTTCCCATCACATCAAACTGATAGATATCATCTGTGAACACTATTAAAAACAAAATTAATTGCATGAACCAAGAGGTAATAAACACTTCTCTTTTTTGATCAACTGAACTAAAATTAATGACAGTGTTTGAATGTGAAGATTATTTTATATCTGACAGAGGAGACAGATTGCTTTGTGTCACACAAAATAATGAAATACTCAGATAGTTAATAACCTAAAAAAACCACTTCTCCATGAGCTCCCAGTGAACTATGAAACTGATTTATAAATTTCAATGAAAATTTACTTTTCCTGCTATTTCCATCTCCTAAAGATGTCTTTTTAAATCCCTCTACCCATTTCCTAGCATTAATTATTTCATATGTATTTCTGGTTGCAAAAGTTTCCATTCATTTCCAGAGATCCTAGTCTCAACAATTTAAAAGAATTACCTTTAGTCATTTATGGATTCTGCTGTAAGGATTTCAGAACAATGTCTATCACAAACCAAAAAGCTGAGGGAGGCAGGAGGAAAGGAAGGAGTAAGGGAGGGAGGGAGGAGGAAAAATTAAAAAAAGAAAGACTTACTTGTGATGATAATGGTACCTACAGGTACCTGAAAGTATAAAAACTATCAAACTATCACTAAAGCTATATAAGCTATTCAAAAGGAGTGAATCTATTTAAATGGGCAAAACCCAATGGAAACAAGAGAAAAGATATTTAAAACAACTCTCCTCTTGGGTCTTGAAGTACCAAGTACCTTAGAAGGCAAGGGCCTGCTTCAGGGCTATAAATAGGAAGACAGGTGGAAAGCAACACTCAGACCCGCAGGTCCCCTCTCCTGGTCCTACACACTGGGTCTCCTGCAGAAAAGCTCATCTTATTCTGGAGAAAGGCTTCAAACCAAGACACCAGAGAGAGTGGAAGAAAAAGGGACCAGAGCCCTTGAAAACAGGGGTACTGAGTGTAAGCCTGACTGGGAGCCCTCTATGTCTACTTCCTTGCCAGGTTTCTACAGAGCCAGTAGCAAGCTTAATCCTCTCCTCACAAAAGTGACATATTCTTATCTGGAGAGACTCAATGTTCAAAAAATACTGAATAGAGTTTGACATCTTGAGTCCTCCACAAGATGATCGACTCCATCCAAAATCCCCCCGCAATGAAGGCCATTAGTCCATCATCCACATATAGTCCATCATCCACATATAATGGACATTAGTCCATCATCCACATATAATCACTGCAAATAATCATTAGTCCATCATCCACATATAATCACTGCAAATAATCTTTTCTGATGTTTCACTGGTAAATATAATAAAACACAGCCAACTGAGGACAATTGGGAAAAGGCTCAAAAAGTGAAAAGACAGACAGAGGAGTAAAAATGAAACTCGGCAGAAACAGAAACAATGTGAAGAGAACTTTAACCTACTACTTTCAGAGAAATAAAACACTGAGTCCATCAGCTAAGAATAAGAGGCTATAAAAAAGAAACACTCGGTACTTAAATAAAATTTTAATCAGAAAAGTTGAAATATAAAATCAAGAAATCTCCTAGAAATAACAAGAAAGAGACAATAAGATGGCAACAGAAGAAGCAGGAAAACTAGAGAATTGACCAAAGAGGTCAAATGTTCTTCCAGAAAGATTAAATAAGAGGGGGGAGGGGAAAAAAACTATAAAAAAGATAAGAGAAAGGAAACAATCAAAGAACACAAATTCCCCATTAGTAAGCAACAATTACATAGTGAAAATAAATACTGAAACTTTATTTAACCAAATCACCAAAGACGAATTCAGAAGCATATTTCTTGCAAAGGAAAGACATGAGTCTCTATCATGTGCTGCTCAATAGAGAAACGTTAGTCAAGTTTAAATTCAAATTTAATAAAATAATTCTTTCTTCATTGCACTGGACACATTTCAAGTGGACAACTGTCATGTTTAGCTAGTATCTACAGTATTAGTGCAAACGTAGAACAATTCAATGATCATAGAAAATTCTATTGAACAGTGCTGGTCTAGATTGAAAAAACATACTGAATGTCTGTACACCAAACGGGACCTCACACTAAAGTACATTATCATAAAATTTCAGGACTCTGTAGATAAAAAGTAAACTCTAAGGAAAGCCAGAATATGAAAAAGAGGCTACAAAAAACAAAATCAGAATGGCAAAGGTCTTGTCAACATAATACTGACTATAAGATAATGGAGCACTATCTGCAGTTTTAAGAGAAAATTGTTTCAAACTAGACTTCAATTTTCAGTCAATTGTCATTTAAGAATAAGACATCATAACACATGTAATAATTCAAAAAATGTACCTCCCATACACTCTTACTTAGGAAGCTATTAAAGGACGCGTTTTCATTTAAAAAATAACAGTATTATTAATAAATCAAAAAAAAGGGAGAGAGATATCTGAAAAGGAAAATATGTGCATCAAGCTTAAGGAGCAACCAGTTCAGATTAGAGCTGGAGACAAAAGGCTGCAATGGGAAGGTCCCAAGGGAAAAAGAAACAGGCTATGTCTGAACTGTTAGGAAACTAAACAGGTGACATCTGCTGGAACATTTGAGAAAATAGAATGGAAAACACAAAACTAAACAAATTTTAACTCAATCAGTAATATAACTACTTAGAAATATGAAGCTAAATACTAAGAGAAATAATTGCTTCTGGAGAGTGAGGAGTGGGTAAAGCAGGGACTACTGTGTCTCATAACTCATTTTTACCCATATTATTCATTAAGAAATAGAACTGGGAAAAATTAAGAGTAAAATAAAGTTTAAAAAAGACACTGGTATACTCTAAAGATATTCCTGGCCATACCATGAGACACATGACAAATACACTGGAAATTCACATGTCAACATGGAAACATTGAAAAGCAAGTCATAAACTGAAATGTACAATATTGCTTTATAAAATTTCATAAAAACCTAAGATAATACTATATATTGCTCATGAATACAATCATATAAGCTTTGTATGGCAAAACCAATACAATGTTGTAAAGTAAAATAAATAATTAAAAAAATAAAATTAAATTAAAAAAGAGTTTCTTGACATTTTTTGTGCCATAGTTAAAACCTACGAACCTCTTTTCAGAGTATTTTTAAGTGCATAAAGTAAAACATACAGGATTATAAGGGAAAATAGTTATAACTAAATAAACATTCTATTGAATTGTTTATATAGCAATGCATATGCTTATTCACTGACATATTAAATAACACAACTTACTTATGTATCGATCACCATAATATCAAAATTGTATTAAGTATAAACAATACTGCAAGATATCTACAGAAACTACAATATAAAATGAAAATATCTATGAGAAAGATTAGAGATCTCTTCAAGAGATATTAGAGATACCAAGGTAATATTTCATGCAAAGACAGGCACAATAAAAGACAGAAATGCTACGGACCTAACAGAAGTTGAAGAGATTAAGAAGAGCTGGCAAGAATACACAGAACTGTACAAAAAAGGTCTTAGTCAACCAGATAACCATGATAGTGTGGTCACTCACCTAGAGCCAGACATCCTGGTGTGTAAAGTCAAGAGGCCTTAGGAAGCATTACTACAAACAAAGCTAGTGGAGGTGATGGAATTCAGGTCAAGAAATAACAGTTAGAACCAGACATGGAACAAGGAACTGGTTCAAAATTGGAAAAGGAATACATCAAGACTGTATATTGTCACTCTGCCTGTTTAACTTCTAGGCAGTGTACATCATGCAAAATGCCAGGCTGGATGAATCACAAGCTGGAATCAAGATTGCCAGGAGAAATGTCAATAACCTCAGATATGCAGATGACACCACCCTAATGGCAGAAAGCGAAGAGGAACTAAGAGCCTCTTTATGAAGGTAAAAGATGAGAGTGAAAAACCTGGCTTAAAATTCAACATTCAAAAAACTCAGATCATGGCATCCAGTCCCATCACTTCATGGCAAATAGATGGAGAAACAATGGAAACAGTGACAGACTTTATTTTGGGGGGCTGCAAAATCACTGAAGATGGTGACTGCAACCATGAAATTAAAAGACGCTTGCTCCTTGAAAGAACAGCTATGACAAACCTAGACAGTGTATTAAAAAGCAGAGACGTCACTTTGCCAACAAAGGTCGATATAGTCAAAGCTATGGTTTTTGCAATAATCTTGTAGATGTGAGATCTGAACCATAAAGAAGGCTGAGCACCAAAGAATTGATGCTTTTGAACTGTGGTGCTGGAGAAGACTCTTGAGAGTCCCTAGGACTGCAAAGAGATCAAATCCTAAAGTATTTGATTCAACCCTAGGATTGAATCCAGTCAATCCTAAAGGAAATCAACCCTGAATTCTCATTGGAAGGACTGATGCTGAAGCTGAAGCCCCAATATTTTGGCCACCTGATGTGAAGAGCTGACTCACTGGAAAAGATCCTGAAGCTGAGAAAGATTGAGGGCAGGAGAAGGGCGCAACAAAGCATGAGATGTTTGGATGGCATCATCAACTCAATGGGCCTGATTTTGAGAAAACTCCAGGAGATAGTGAAGGACAGAGAAGCATGTTGTGCTGCAGTCTATGGATCACTAAGAGTCGGACACAACTGAGCAACTGAACAATAGCATGATTTCAATTGATGACAAGGTTACAGGTACTAACACAACAATTCATGGCTTCCATCAATAACTGAAGAAAATATTAAATTCAGTTCAAGGTTAGTAAAAATATATATATAATTTTTTCTCCATCTAAGTTCACAGACCTCCTGATTTCTATCACAGACAAGAGGTGAACAGCCTTCATTTAAAAACTGGGAAAGGGGACAAAAAGAATTTCAACTACATCTAATAAATTGTTGGCTTCTTTAACAAACTGCAAGGAAAATACAACAAAATAGTTATACCTGTTCATTGTGATATATATAGAATACATATTACATGTGCAATATAATTAATTGCTTACATTGACCTAAACTATTTAAGGTTCAAAAACCAGGAGGGTCAGGTGGAATCAGAGTATAATACACATAGATATAAACATAACTAAAATGTTTCAAAACTACATATTCAAAACAGTAATGAGGGAGTAGGGACTAGGAGAGGGTAGTCAGAATGAGCTACTTCAGCTGAGAAACAGCCTAGAGAACTTTAAAAATATGCATACTTGACTACCGCTGCCAGTCACATTCGAATGGACTAACACAATGACTGAATATACTTTAAACACTCCCGGAGGGACAGGAGACAGGCACTAAGGGAAATCAAGAAAAAGATAACCAAGCGAACTGGGTGCTGTGTATAATAAGGGTACTTTATGCTCAATTTCTTCATGTATGTTTAAAATCTGTCATAATAATTAATGCAATAAGACTGATAGAAGAATTCAAATTACCACTTATTTCTCTTCATCCTTTTTCTTACCTCCAGTTTTCTTCTGTAATTATTTAAATATCCCATCCCACTCCCACAAAGCCATCAGTTATATAATATTATAGTGGCTTTTTGAAAGTTTAAACACATTAAATGTAGTGATCTTAACATAAAAAGTAAAATGTTTGGAGAAAAGATGGATTTCAGTGATTTTTCTTGTAGTAGTATTTGTCAAGTTTCCAATTTTCAGAGAAACAATTTTTTTCATATCTTTAAATTTTTAACTTCGCTTTGATTGTGTAAGCTCCTTAAGATTCTGTGATGCAATTACTATCATGAAACAATAAGAGCACAAAAAGTGAAACTACTATAAAAATTTTCACTGACATATCCTTAGTCATCTCAGTTGTCAATTTACTTATTTTTCTTTTATAAAATAAGAAAGCCCAATTATCTGAGTCAAACTATTTGAATTACCAAAATATACCCTTTATAAGCCCCTGATCACAGAAAATTTTCTCAAAAGTAGTTTTCTTACCCAGCCCCCTGGCTGCAATATCGGTAGCAAAGAGCACCGCAGCTCTCTTGCGAACAAATTCGTTATAGACTTCCATTCTTCTCATCTGCTGCTGTCGCCCGTGCAGGGCAAGGATGGAGACACCAGGGCGCAGTCGGCAGAACACTCGGTACAGATACTGAACCTAGGCGTTAACCGAAAAATGATTTGGTACTTCTGGGTAACAGCTTACAAGATGAACAGAAAAATGCACTATGGAGCACACGTTGAATTAAAGTACAGAATAGAGAAAAGGAAATGTAGTCTGGAGCTGTGGTCTTCAAACATTTTTGCTCATATTATTTTTCCTAAAAGAATTTTGAAATAAATATTCTCTCCCAAAATCATTAAAGTTCAGTATCTGACATTTCTAAGTGGTTGCAAAGAATGTCATTTCTGGTAAATGTAAATATATTTTAAAGTAAAGACTTACCTCTCATAAATGTAGCCAACAGATTCTAAATAGCACAGCAATTTGATATCCACCACCAGTTATTTCAAAATATATAAAAATAATAGGGGAGACTACACATGTGTGGGGCAGGGCCCGTCAATTTTGCTGCAAACCTAAGATTGCTCTAGAGCAGTTGTTAAAAAAGGAAATTTTCTAACAAAATGTGAAGAACCTCTTCTTTAACAGAAAAATTTTACATCATTTCTTTTCCTCCTTGAACTCATATTTCTATTTCCTGACCTCACAGAATTTTATCTTGTTTTATGCAAAATGTATTGATCACTTTATCACAATTCATTACTTTCAACAACAAAACTATATGTGTATATATATGTTTTAATTTTAATTTTCTGTAGCCATAAAGCTGCATTTAAAGTTCTCAGACTCAGTTACTATTACAATTATTAGTATGCTGCTGCTGCTGCTAAATCGCTTCAGTCGTGTCCAACTCTGTGCGACCCCATAGACGGCAGCCCACCAGGCTCCGCCGTCCCTGGGATTCTCCAGGCAAGAACACTGGAGTGGGTTGCCATTTCCTTCTCCAATGCATGAAAGTGAAAAGGCAAAGTGAAGTCGCTCAGTCATATCCGACTCTTAGCGACCCCATGGACTGCAGCCCACCAGGCTCCTCCATCCATGGGATTTTCCAGGCAAGAGTACTGGAGTGGGTTGCTATTGCCTAGAACTGACCAAAAGAAAGAGATGTTAGAATTTGATTTAAAAAATTAAATTCTATTATCTCTCTCAATATATGAGACTAGATGAAGCTGTTTCTTTAGTTTTATTTTTCTTTAGTTTACATACTCACAAATGAATACTAGTGATTGCTAAACTGAGGCAGAGTCCAGCATCATTTTATTCCATTTCTCTAATATAGGTATTAAGAAAATCTTTTTCATGAAAATACAGAAAATGGACTAGAAAGAACCTTAACTTTTTCAGTTCCTATAAAATATGTCATGATGGTATATTACAAATAATTTCATCTATCAGCTGCTGCTAAGTCACTTCAGTCATGTCTGACTCTGTGGGACCACCCCATAGACGGCAGCCCACCAGGCTCCTCCATTCACAGGATTCTCCAGGCAAGAATACTGGAGTGGGTTGCCATTTCCTTCTCCACATCTATCAGCTAGTAACTGCATTAAGTCTTCCTTCAAATTTTGTTGAAAGAATGGGAAACCACCTAATTACAAAATTGACTTGCTACCCCAGCATTAAAGTTATTCATTTTTTCATATAATACTCTGGTGCTAGGAAGATTCTCTGATCCCGAGACAACGCACTATAAGACTAGGCATAGAGGGACTCCTCTCCTTCTGTAAAGTTTTTTAGAAGGCTACTGTGAAAGCAGAGATGAGAAAGAACCCACAGACCAGACCGCAGATACACTGTTAGGCAACCCTCTCAGAAAAGCACACATGGAAATGGAAGAACTACAGAAACGAAAGATCAACCAAGAGCCTAAGAAAAAGTTAAGCATGGTTTAAACTGCATGGTAGCAAGAGGGGTGGTGAGAGGTGGTAAAACTAACAACTGTCAACAGATTGAATGTGAGTTAAAGACAGGCAAGAATTTAAGATTTGATCATTTAATGAGATGGGGAAGAGTTGGAGGGAGCAGATCTCAGAAATAGGAAATCTTACATTGCTTACCCAAATAGAAATATCTAGAAGTCAAATGGATATACAAGTCAGGGGCTCAGGAAGAAGTCAAGGCTTAAGATGTGGATTTGGCAATTGTCAGAATACAGACAGCATTTAAAGTCACAGAACTGAAGAGATATAGAAAGAATATGGACCAAAAAAGGGCAGAGTATACTTTTTCCACTGTGAAGAGGAAAAGCAGAGTATTACAGAGTAAAAACTTTAAACATTAACCCTTAAAATTATTTTCTTGTATGTAAATATGAAAAACATCCATTCTTTAAGAAAATTTAAAATTCTAAAAATCTGAAAGAAGTCCTAAAAAATCTGAAGTCATTCTTTACATGGAAAAATAATGAAGTTCCGTGCTTTCCTCAAAATAGAGACAGAACACTACTTATCATCCCCATAAATTGGAAGAAAACTCACTGCATGTTCATCATGCTAAGCTACTGCAAAAGCTATAAATCTAGAATCAATCTACTATATACCAACAACTATAGGTTATCAGGAAATCTGAAATACAGTAAAAGAAAACTAAAATACAAAAACGAACCATGGTTTCTTCTCTTAAAGAGAAAAGACCAAGTTTTCTTATACATCACTGAATACTTATAAGCACACGACTAGTGTTCAAGAAATGCTGATAAACAAGGCAGATATAATCAAAACACTCCCAAAGGACAGAGGAAGGTGCAATTCATTGCCAAAAGAGGGTTGGGGAGTGTCAGAAAAGGACTTTCAGGCATAAAGCTTGAGCTTAGCCTTAAAGGATAGTAATCATTCCTCCAGATGGAGGAACACAGGGAGATCAGCAGATCAGCATAAACAAAGAGGAAGAGACAGGGATATAAATGGCGTATTCACCCAGGGTAAGGCAGACGTCAGGTCAAAAAGACCTCCAGTTAGCCTAGCCATTCAACCGTGTCTACCAATATTTACTGAGGACTACCATATTCTAAGTATTGTGCTAGATGCTAACAAAACTGAAGTAAAAACAGTGTCTGCCTTTCCTTATTGAGCTTGAAGTCTCATCAATGGGTTCCTTTAAAAATGAAGACACAAGATTCTCATTATCTACAAATCTCTTCACATTTAGCACTGCATTTATTGAAAAATAAAAGTGAAAATGAAAAAAAATGAAATTTGAAATTTATTCATGATAATCCAACATGAATAACTTAAGAACAGTAAACACTAGGTACCTCTTTACAACTGGAGAAAAATACAATACTTTTCTTCTTCAGGTGGCTTCTCAAAAAGGAATACAGCACACTTATTTTTTGCTGCAGCTCACAAACTATGTAGTTCTGTTCCAAAGTAGCAGGGGTGCTTATGCAAAAAAGAGGGAAAATATTAAAAATATGTCATGTTGGTAACTTTGAAATCCAGACCAAAAAATAAAACAAATGTTAACAATGGTATGCCTCCCAAGCAAATTTTTCATACACACATACAAACATATCCCGAAAACAACTTTCTTTATTGCCCCTTAGTAAATGAACACAGCATTATGTCCAAAATACACTCAAAATCATTTACAGATTAAATATCAAAAATATACATGATTTCCAGGGGGGAAGAATGGGGGAAGGAATAGTTAGGTAGTTTGGGATTGCCATGTACACACTGCTATATTTAAAATGGATAACCAACAAGGACCTACTGTATAGCATAGGGAACACTGCTCAATGTTACGTGGCGGCCTAGATGGGAGGGGAGTTTGGGGGAGAATGGATACATATATACATATAGCTGAATCCCTTTGCTATCCACCTGAAACTATCACAACATTGTTAATCGGCTATACTCCAATAGAAAATAAAAAATTTAATTATACATATAGATATATGTGTATACATATATATATCTATATATAAATATACACATGCAAACAGGGGTCACCTCTACAAGAGCAGGGTCAAGGATCAATTGAAGGATATAAGGGAACTTGCTGGGCTGATGCTAAGGTTCTACACCTCTTAGTAGGACTTTGAGTTACAGAGACACACACATTTATCAAAACTGAGCAAATTTACTCAATTTGTTCATTGCATTGTATGTAAATCTTATATCAAGAAAGAAAATCTCTATACAAATATTTAACTCTAGTTACTGATATACGTACTGAAATGTTTAAAGGAAGTATACTGAAATGTTTAAAGGAAGTGTACAGATGTCTGCCAATTTCTTTGAAATGCATCAAAAATAAGATGGGTTGATATATAGAGGGATGGATAAATGGACAGTAAATGAATGCTACCATCAAGTAGCATCCAGGTGGAGGGTATAGGGTTTTAACTGTAAAATTCTTTCAACCATACACATTTGAAATCTCATAATAAAAATAATATAGAGAAATATACATGCATTTACTCTTTGAACTAATAAACCTACTTTTAGGATTCTGTTCCCAAAAATAATCTGGTAAAAACACAAAAAGATATACTATCATTTAATTTACACAGCAAAAAAAAAAAAGATGTAAATCAACCCATATGTCCACCAGTAAAAAAAACCTGTGGAATGAACCACTGTACATCCACATAACTATGTAACATACAACTATAAAAAAAGAATGAGGAATCTATATAGTGCTATGATGTGATCACTAGGGCATATTGTTAACTGAAAGAAGCAAAATTTGATACCATTTATGGAACTGAAGGTATATATACATTCATGCACATACAGGCATCCCTTGGGTGAGTGTTTATATAAAGGGAAAAAAGGGAAGCCTCTTGATGAAAGTGAAAGAGGAGAATGAAAAAGCTGGCTTAAAACTCAACATTCAGAAAACTAAGATCATGGCATCTGGTCCCATCACTTCATGGGAAATAGATGGGGAAACAGTGGAAACGGTGACAGACTATTTTCTTGGGCTCCAAAATCACTGCAGATGGTGACTGCAGCCATGAAATTAAAAGACACCTGCTCCTTGGAAGAAAAGTTACGACCAACCTAGACAGCATATTAAAAAGCAGAGACATCACTTTGCCGACAAAGGTCCACCTAGTCAAAGTTATGGTTTTTCCAGAAATCATGTATGGAAATGAAGAGTTGGACTACAAAGAAAGCTGAGCACTGAAGAATTGATGCTTTTGAACTGTGGTATTAGAGAAGACTCTTGAGAGTCCCTTGAACTGCAAGGAGATCAAACCAGTCTATTCTAAAGGAAACCAATCCTGAATATTCACTGGGAGGACTGATGCTGAAGCTGAATCTCCAATACTTTGGCCACCTGATTCGAAGAGCTGACTCACTGGAGAAGACCCTGATGCTGGGACAGATTGATGGCAGGAGGAGAAGGGGACGACAAAGGATGAGATGGTTGGATGGCATCAGCGACTCATGGACATGAGTTTGAGCAAGCTCCAGGAGTTGGTGATGGACAGGGAAGCCTGGCGTGCTGCAGTCCATGGGGTACCAAAGAGTCGGACATAAGTGAACTGAACTGAACTGACCGCAATATAAAGGAAACACACTGGTGTACTTCTGTGTATACTCTGATACACAACTCAGAAAGATTTAATTCTTATTTTTCTGGCCCTTTACAATTTAAGAGTAAATATTCTTTTATGCCTTAAAATATTCTCAACCATAATTTCTCAGGGTATATGAACCAAACTATTAAGTTGGTAAAGGAGAAAATTCAATAACGATATTAAACAAAATTCAGCAGCAGCTGCTTTTTATAGTGCTGGTGAATTTGAAATTACAGAGTATTGCAGTCATTACCAGATAAGCTGCAGTTTTATAAATTATGTTCCTAAATATCTGCCTTCTACCTTCTAAAATGTTTTCTGAAAGTCACATCTTTTACAAATGATGGTACTGCTTTTAAGAATTATTTATGAAGTAAACAATTTTTACACGCAGGTTTTTCTAACTAACTATGATCTACAGATTAAGACCAACTATTATCTAAAGAAATTGGGGACAGGGATAATATGTACAATTAACCTGCAATTTAGAGACCATCTAATATTGAAAAATGAGTGTCTAGTAAAGACACTAGTGAGTTTTTAAAACAGGCAGAAAGGAAACAGCAAAAAAAAAGAAAATCAAAAGACCTAGACAGTTATTAGACTATCAAATTGATTGTACTAAGGGTTTTCAATAGCTCTCTCAACACAATTTTACGAACAAAAACCAATGTCTACTCAATGGTAAGCCAAGGAGGTAACTATACCTCATATATCTCCTGCTATCCCATTCCTGAGGAGTTCTTGAACTCAGATTTTCCAAAGTTTATTCATTAGGATCACCTGGAAGTATAGAATTTAGCCTCTTCTCAGGTTTTTTTTTTAAATCCTAGACATCTATTGGTTGAACAAAGTCGAGGTGGGCCTGAATGCCCATATCCCCTGCATTTAAAGATTTTCCAAGAGGATAACTCAATTCATTTTCCCAATATATTTCTTTTCATGCTAGCATTTCACAGCAAGAAATGAAAGACAGAGAAAATGGTAGGGGCGAGCCCACAATGAGATCATCAACACAGATTTAATTTAAATTCACTGGAAAACGTTTCTCAAAGTCATATCTGTCCACGGTCTGCATGTATGTATGTATGTATGATTCATACCAAACATACATACATTTTCAGCTGTCATAATATCAAAATACACTTCAAAACATATTTTCCCCAATCCATTTACGTATCTCTCTCTCTCTCTCTCTCACACACACACACCTTCTACTGCCACAAAGAGCAGGAGTCCCCAACCCTGGTAAGCTGTTGTGGCCTGGTAGGAATAAGGTCTCACAGCAGGAGGTGAGTGAGCGAAGCTTCAGCTGTATTTATTTCAGCTCCCCATCTCATTACCCCCTGACCTCTGCCTCCGGTCAGATCAGCAGCATTAGGTTCTCAAAGGAGCGTGAAACCCACTAAGCTTGAATCATTCAGAAATCAGCCCATCCCACCCCATTCCCACACTGTCAGTAGAAAACTTGTCTTCCACAACATTGGTCCCAGGTATCAAAAAAGTAGGAGATGACTGACAGAGACACACATATCTTACTTTCCAGTTTTAGTGAGACCAAACAAAACAGCTGTTGCTGAAATGTTTTAAACAGAAAAGTATTTTGCTAAACATTAATTTGATAAAATGTGCATTTGATAAAATGTGCTCCATAGCACATTAGCCCTGCATAATACAGCTTAAAAAAAAAAAAGATTCTAAACCAAAATAATTTTGATAAATGCAGAAAGCTTTATTCATCTCCTACTGCTTTTAAGAATCATAATGTTCATAAAAATATCAAAGGTTCTGAGAAGTCTTAAAGAACACTGCTTTACCTTAACTCAACATTTGCTATTTAACTATCGAGGAACACGTTTTCCCACCTCACTCCCATTTTATGGGGGCATCTGTTCCCCACACCACAATTTGGGAAATACTACATTAGAGTTGTCTCACATTTAAAGGTGTATTGAGAATTTAAATAACTTTTACCACTATATTCACTATGCTTTGCAAATTTAATCAATAACATTAAAATGCTTTCCTAGAAAAGCTAAATTCTCAATCTAAAAAGAGAACCACAATTTTGATTGCATTAAATATGATTTCAAGTAATACATACCTGTATTTTGCTTTTTCATGAACCCAAACATACTCAGGATTTTTCAAACTCAAGCGTGCAAGGTCCTTTACAGATTTGGTTTGTGTAGCTGAGAAAAGCAAAGTCTGACGTTTCTTGGGAAGGTTTTCAATAATAGCATTCATGGTGTCAGCAAAGCCCATATCCAAGATTCTATCTGCTTCATCAAGAACTAAAAAGGGAAAACACACACTGACTACAATATTTAACATACACATTAGGCTAAAAGCAATATGGTATTCTGGATAGGATTCTAGAAGACAAAAAGGGAGTTAGTGGGAAAACTGGTGAAATTAAAAAAAAAAGTTTGGAATTATTAAATAAATGAGCCAATGTTAGGGCTTCCCAGGTGGCTCAGTGGTAAAGAATCCGCCTGCCAATGCAGGAGACACAGGAGACTCGGGTTCAATCCCTGGGGGGGACGATCCTCTGGAGGAGGAAATGGTAACCCACTCTGGTAGTCTTGCCTGAAAAACTCCATGGACAGAGGAGCCAAGTGGGCTACAGTCTATCGGGTCACAAAGAGCCAGACACGGCTGAGAAACTCAGCAGGCACATGCATACACACGCCAACGCTAGTTAACTTACTTTGGCAAAGGTACCAAAGTTATAAAAGAAGTTACAATGGGGAAACTGAGGAAAGGAAGGGTATAGAGGAACTGCCTGTACTATCACTGCAACTATTCTATAAAGCTAAAATTATTCCAAGACAAAAAGTGATTTAAAAAATACACAATAGGTAACATCATAAGTAGATGATGATTTTTATCTTTCACCTTAAAAGATAACTCTTAGCAGTGTCAAATACTGAGGAATCTAATTTCATATGGAATAGAGTGCTTATCTCTTTCTGACTCTTTTGACTTAAAAAAGGTCTCAGTTGTACTCTCTGGATTTAGAACTATATGTCAAAAAATTGCTTCAAGTTCTTTTTAAGATTTTTAATCAAAGTATTTATTCAGTAAAACATTTCTATCATTAAAATTTATGAGAGCTTGCTCCTAGGACTGAGATTATTTTCATAAAGATTCATTAGACTTACCTAACATTTGGAGACTGGTAGCATGAAAACATATTGTTTCATCCATGTGTTGAAGAAGCCGACCCGGTGTGCAAACAAGTATATTTATGTTATTGATCCTCTCAGCTTCATGCTTCAGATCCTGAAAACAGTTGTTTCCTTTGATTACAGATACATCACTGAGCAGCCTGTGTACCAAAACTATATAAGCCAGCTACATGTGGCATTTCATCATAGCAATGTGGATACTCTAGAAATAAATGTAGCTTCTCCCTTATGTTTTTACAGCCTATCCAAATTTCTGGGCCAAATAAAAGTCCGCAGTGAAGACCTAAAGAACTCAGAGTTCCTCTAGATCTTAATCATATGCAAGATTTTGAAGCCATGAGAAATATATGAATGCTCTAAGTCTTTACGTCCTCCTGTGTCTGCCAGAACAGACTTAAAAACAAGAATTAAACCCATTCTTTAAATCAAAATCCAGGGACAATAAACAGGCTCTGTGATACCACTCACTGCATTATCTGGACTGCAAAAAAGAGTTGAGTTCTCCAATTTCTAGAAAATCCCTCCTCAAAAGAGCCACAGAATGTTATTTGTTAAAGCTGGGTGACAGGTACATGAGTATCTGAGGGCTTGTGATACTCATTCTTTTCTAGTGCATGTTTGCATACAAATTCAAGAATTCAAGTATTTATCCTCACAACCCAGAAGGGACTGTAGCAGAAACAAGTAGTCCAGGCAAACTAAAAGAAGGAGAAGTGAAGCAGCAGGCTTTACCAGGACCTAAAATAAACACTCCTCAAAACTACCTTCTATTCACCTTCCTCTCTTCTGCTGCTGACCCAGTAATGTCCTGAATTATTCAACCTCTCAGATATTTTACTGAAAGGAACTAGTCCACATACTGAAACAGTACCTTTCCCAATGAATATTAACAAATAGATTTTTCAGGTTAGTAGGAATTAATTAACCTCAGAGAATCTGATCAGTCCAGATACCCTGACAAAACAAACTTTCTGGACCTGCAAAACTCAAAGACTCTAGATGATAGTGACCACACCAGAATGCTACCACCTCCTGTCTAGGGGGCCAGCCTGTCTGTTTAGATGAAATCTCTACCTCTTCCTGGCCAACTGCCACAGTGCTCCAACATAAGGCACAGAAGGAAAGAAAGAGGACAAGGATAAAAAGACAAACCTTTCCACCGATGATGAGGCCAGCTGAAAAGTCATGATTCTTCCCTACTTTTCGGAGAACCTCAAATGTCTGATAGGCCAGTTCTCTTGTAGGTGATATAATCAGAACCCCTAGCCCATCTGTTGAGGTCCACTGCAGACGATACAAGGCTTCCAGCACCTCACAAAAGAACAAATTCACATTCAATAAGTCCTTCAGAGAGGCAGCTTTTTGACTGCCTTGCCACTCCAAATCAAAGGCAACTTTCAAGCAGAAAGCATACCGTCATGAGTCTCAATCAGAAAAAACTGCTTTGTTTCTTCTTTTCCTTCTATTCATCAGGAGCATCCTTCCCCAAGTCACAGAGGGAAGGAACAGAAGCCCTGTAGCAGCTCAGCTGCTACCAGAGACATGCCATGAGGAGACTGGCAATCACTGGAAGGTCTGCACAGCCCACAGGCCATTAAAACACATTTCAGAAAAATATTTGTCACCATTTTCTGAACAGAAACCACATTAAAATAAACCCTGTGTAACTGCCTTAGTTATACAGTGACTGAATTTTCGAGATATTGCTATAAAAAATTAGGACTTGAGAGAAAAATGATTTTGTAACACTTGGAACCAAAAACCAAACGTGATTTTTCTGAGTTGATTATTCAGCAGAAATTAAAAACTATGAACCAACCACATAACAGATATAAGTGAATTCCTCAGAGGCTTTATTGTTTTATTGCTATAAAAGACAACGTCCGGGAAAAATCTCAATGAATGACTCAATTTCCTTAAAGTGAGCCTATTTCAGCTTTATCCTCAGTAAGTGGCAAGCATAAATGCGACTTGCAGGTTTGCAAGAGAACGGATACAGCCTTCCCTGCCACCCCACCAGGCTCACTGCAGAGCAGCACCTCTCTGACCTGCCACCCTGGAACACCCCATAACCTTCAGGAATTCAGGCTTGTGGACACATATAACAATGTATTCCTTCAGTAAGTGATGGAGTGCCCACCATGTGCGAGGTGCTATATTAGGACATGGGGAATACAACATATAACAAGAGAGATGTGGCACCTGCCTGATAAAGCCAGCACTTTAGCCAGGGAAACCCAACACAAAACAACTCTTCACATAATTATCTATTTCTATCTAGGCACAGAATGCTTTAAAATCATGTAATAAAGGACTTGACCCAATATGAAAAAAACTACTTACTGGAACAAGAAAGGCCAAAGTCTTGCCAGATCCAGTCTTGGCAGCCCCGAGGACATCTTTACCTTGCAAAGCCAACCCAATGGTCTGCTTCTGTATCTCAGTTACCAAACGGTACTGGGCTTCTTGCAAACCTGCCAGAACAGATGGGAAGAAAATGACACTTTAGAGCACCCCTGATGCATGTGAGCATCCACAGTTCAGGGGTGCTGAACTGTGCACCCCTCACTCCCAGAATTCATATGTTGAATCCCAATCACCAGTATTTAGACTGCAACGGTATTTGGAGACAGGTGATTAAAGAGGTGATTAAGTTAAAATGAGCCCATTAAAGTGGGCCCTAATCCAATCTGAAAGAAGGGAAGAAAGAAAGTAAAGTCGCCCAGTTGTGTCCAACTCTTTGAGACCCGGTGCACTGTAGCCTACCAGGCTCCTCTGTCCATGGGATTCTCCAGGCAAGAATACTGGAGTGGGTTGCCATTTCCTTCTCCAGGGGATCTTCCCAACCCAGGGATCGAACCCAGGTCTCCCGCATTGCAGGCAGATGCTTTACCCTCCAAGCTACCAGGGAAGCCAATCCAATCTGACTGATGTCCTTACAAAAACGGAAATTTTGGACACAAAAACGAACACTAGGGGTGTGAGAACACAGAGGGACAACTACTTTATGAAGCAGCAGGGGGCTGACCATCCATACACCAAGGAGAGAGGCCTGGAACAGACGCCTCCATTATGGCCCTCGGAGGAAACCACCTCTGCCAGAACCTTGATCACAGACTTCCGGACTCCAGAACCATGAGAAAATAAATTTCTATTGTTTAAGCCACCCAGTCTGTTACTTTGTTCTGGAGGCACTAGCAAATCAATACAAAAAAAAAGGTGTCACACTTTTGTTTGTTCTCTTGCTTATTTTAACTAACATTTTAATTACTTGGAGGCCCTGGCACCTTGGTTTTTTACTACGGTTTCTCAACCAGTTCAGAAAGAATGAGAATGACAAATCGGAAAACTTAATTAACACTGTTTCTTGTTACAGGTTTTCATGATATCAAAATTACTTGCCAAAGAAAGATTTTTTTTCCCAGGTTAAACTTTCTCTAAACTTTTTTCCATTTATAAAAAGGCATCAAGAAGTCCAACAATATATCCCAAGATCACTATGAACTTACCTTTCAGTGTTTTTTTGGACAAGGGAAAATCTGAAAATCTTGTAATTTCATTTACATTTATCTGAAAAGTAAAAGGGGACTACATTAGACAAGACAAAATAACATACTGCATAACTCGTTTTGCAACAAAACTAATTTTTGTCTAAACTGTGCTGCTTTGCTCATCCTTTGTACTACAAGAATAAATTCAAGCATCACTCTAGTTAAAAACCATCATTCCTTCTGGAAAAAATATGCCTTGAGGAAGCTATAATCAAAAATATAACTTTGTAATCATTTCTACTTTTTAAAAAAAAAGAAAACTTCACTCAACATACACACACTACTACCACACACTACTACCTTCAATATACACGAAAACCTCTAAAATGTTAACAACACAATAAATCATCACATCAATTTTAGGAAGAAAATTTACTGTCAGCCCTTTCTTCAAAGAATATCAGTTTAGCAAGTAAAGGCAAAATGACTATAAACCAAAGACCATGATGAGAATAGGTCTCTTTACACACTTTGGAGAATAAACTGAAATTAGATGGAGAAATATATCTTGCTAGCACAAACCTCTCAAATCCAACCTGACAACTACTCATTTGGGGGTATACTGAGAGAGTATTGTTTAACAATAACCAGTGGAAGTGTCTCTGTCCTGATCTGAAGCCACAATAAGTAACATTTTGCCCTTTAACTCTACATTATCTAATGTTCATCACTGACATTGTTTTATTAGCATAAACCCAATTTTCTGGATTTCATTTTATTGCAGATGCTGAAAGCAGGAACTTCGCAGATATGGGAATATGTTGCCAAAATACATGATCCACAAAAGGAGAAGGCTGCATTTCTAAGGTTGATTTATTTAAATTACACTCCAGGAAGTAAAGGGATGACACCTTGTATTTCATTTCAGTCCACATATTGTCTTTCCCAAGAGTCTAGATTCTTAATATAGTCCAGACAGGGTTATTCTCTGGCCTCAAATGATGTAACACAAATATTAAAACATTGCCTTAATCCCTACAAATCATTTCGGATAACATTGGAGAGAAGGCAGAATCAGTGTACGAGCAGTAAAAGTAGAGAAGTTTATTCAAATAATATCCTGTCCTGTCAAGGAACCTAAATTAGGAGGCAATTTCCCAAACTGGACATTAGCTAAATATCTGTTTTCAGAGCAAGTGGAACAGTTATAGGAGCTAGATGGGTAACACACTCTTTAATCCCCATCAAAGGTACAGTCCACAGGCCAAGTTGGCTACTCTTTGCAACGCACAAAGTAATGCACTGCGGTGCACATCTTTCTAAAGTTTATCAACCTCCTAGAGGGAAAGTCTGGAAGAAGGAAGCTCTTCCAGCACTCTGCCAACCATTAGAACATAAAGCTATACGCAAACACATAACACACACAAAGCTGTATGCTATACACTTAGAAAGACGTTACCAAAGAAACAAGAGTTTTTACTTCACTGATGCTCTAGAACAGGGGTCAGCAAACCATGGCCCACAGACCAAATCCAATTCCTTTCCTGTTTTGTAAATACAGCTATCTGGAGCACAACTACAACCATTCATTTATATACTATGGCCCACAAAACTTAACATTCACTATTTGGCCCTTTACAGAAAAAGTCTGCCCCCCCAATTCTAAAAGTGAAAGTGAAAGTCTCTCAGTCATGTCTGACTCTTTGTGACCCCATGGACTACACAGTCCATGGAATTCTTCAGGCCAGAATACTGGAGTGGGTAGTCGTTCCCTTCTCCAGGGGATCTTCCCAACCCAGGGATCGAATCCAGGTCTCCACATTGCAGGCAGATTCTTTACCAGCTGAACCATCAGGAAAGCTAACAGGGAAGCCCTGTTCTAAAAAACTGTCAATTACAGTCCAAAGAACACTTGGAGGCCACAGCAGAAGATGGCTATGGTTCATACCAATTAAAAAAAAAAAAAACTCTCTTTCCCCTTACCTTCATCCTTTTCTTTTCTTAGGGGGAAAAAAAAACACTCTTAGAAAAATCATCAGTCTGTTCAGTCGCTCAATCATGTCCAACTCTTTTCAACCCCATGAACTGCAGCACACCAGGACTCCTTGTCCATCACCAACTCCCAGACTTTCCTCAAACTCATGGCCATTGAGTCGGTAATGCCATCCAACCATCTCATCCTCTGTCGACCCCTTTTCCTCTTGCCTTCAGTCTTTCCCAGCATCAGGGTCTTTTCAAATGAGTCAGTTCTTCGCATCAGGTGGCCAAAGTAATGGAGTTTCAGCTTCAACATCAGTCCTTCCAATGAACACTCAGGACTGATCTCCTTTAGAATAGGCTGGTTGGATCTCCTTGCAGTCCAAGGGACTCTCAAGAGTCTTCTCCAACACCACAGTTCAAAAGCATCAATTCTTCAGCACTCAGCTTTCCTTATAGTCCAGTTCTTCAGGCACTCTGTCTATCAAATCTAATTCCTTGAATCTATTTCCCACTTCTACTGTATGATCATAAGGGATTTGATTTAGGTCATATCTGAATGGTCTAGTGGTTTTCCATACTTTCTTCAATTTAAGTCTGAATTTGGCAATAAAGAGTTCATGATCTGAGCCACAGTCAGCTCCTGGTCTTGTTTTTGCTGACTATATAGAGCTTCTCCATCTTTGGCTGCAAAGAATATAATCAACCTGATTTCGGTATTGACCATCTGGTGATGTCCAGAAAAATCATACACCCACTAAAATCTGTATCATCATTCTTCTGAAATCAGAGAACAGACATTTCAGTGATGGTACTTACTAAGAACTTCTCAGCACTGGTTAGAGGGGGCAGAGGAAGGGAGAACAGGGTGAAGGTGGATATTACTTAACCCTGCTCCTTTACGTCCAAATGTCTCATTTCTCACAAAAGTGAACGATGCTTTTACATCCCAAAGCATGAGGGAAGAAAGTATTTAAAACTTCCTAGAATGCTCCACCTATTGCAATCTACCTCAAATCACACCAGACCCAACTTTGACTAAGAAAAAAAAAATAGATTAGAAAGCAGAGTTCCTATACAGCATAGCTGATTACAATAAAAATCTTAAATGAATCCCAGGTGCAGAGAGCTTGAGTCATTCAGCAAGTGAAAACAGTTGCTGAACTAAAATAAACAGTTCAACATTTCTCACTAAGCTTCAATCCTCAGCTCTATATCAGCCCCTTGAGAACACAGGCCCTACATGGTGGCCTTAGAAATAAGCCCCCCAGAGTTCCCACTGTGGAAGCAGAGCTGGCTGATAAATGCCAGCTGTCACCCCTCTAGAGCCACCACTGAAAAAGTCATGCCCGCTTGGCCTGTGCCCAGTTAATGACCAAACACCACAGAGGTACCCATTCCCGCAGGACAGGGCATCCCTCTGAAGGGCAACTTTGGTTCGAGGACATCCTGTCAGGAGAAGCTTTCTAAAAACAGCGCTGCAGCCTGAGGGCTTCCTACCCACTCCTTCTGTCCTCTCTCCTTTCCCTCCCTATTCCTAGTCCTTCTCCTTTACCTTTACACTTTCCCCCAATAAATTCTAGCTCACTTAATCCCATCTGGGTATCTGCCTCTCAAAGGATCCAAGATCTAGATTATACCAACAGCCTAGCCTCTAGATCAGAGAAGGCAATGGCACCCCACTCCAGTACTCTTGCCTGGAGAATCCCAGGGATGGGGGAGCCTGGTGGGCTGCCGTCTATGGGGTCGCACAGAGCCGGACACGACTGAAGCGACTTAGCAGCAGCAGCAGCAGCCTCTAGATCCTTTATAATTTAGATATGGTCTCTAATTGCCTCCCAGAAACTCATCACTGCTTCCAGATAAAGTTTTTAAACATAGCTTCTGTATATTATTCCTACTGTTGCTGTAACAAATTACCAAAAACAGTGACTTAAACCAACATTTACAATTCTGCAAGTCAGAATGAAAAAACTAGTTTCCTCAGCTAAAATCAATGTGTTGGCAGGGCTGCATTCTTTTGGGCAACTTTAGGAGAGAATCCATTTCCTCGCCTTTTCCAGCTCCTAGAGGCTGCCCACATTCCTTGGCTTATGGTCCCCTGTATAGTTTTGAAAACCCAGCCAGCAAGGCGGTCAAGTGTCTCATTTCACAGCCCCCAGACGCTGACTCTCCTGCCTCCCTCCTGCATGTTCAAGGACCCCTCGATGGTCACACTGGGTCACCTGGGTAATCCAGACCAGTCAGCACATTTTAAAGTCCGCAATCCCTGCAATATAACTTAATCACAGGTCTGGGGATTAGGATGCTGACATCTCTAGGCCATTATTCTACCTACTACAGCCTTCAAAGCTATTCAATCTACTTGCAACTCCCTTCTTCAATCTCATCTGAGGCCAATTCTGAAACATATAACATATGCCAAGGAGTAGGTCCCCCTCAAAGAACACCACACATTTTCACATTTTTTTGTATTTCTTCATGTTGCTCCCTCCACCTACAATGTCCGTGGCCAATCTTTTCTACCTGGAGAACACATCATTCAAGAACCAGCTTCACTCATGGCTACCACAAACTGCTATACAGTCCGTGCCCTACACAAAGGCATCTGGTAAGGCTGAGGTGTGGAAGCTGAAATTCAGCCCACTTTCAGCTCCACAGGCCAGGCCTGAGGCTGCGACCACCAAGAGGAAGGGTATCATGCCCAGAGGAAAAACCTTTCTGTCAATCGTAGGGCCAAAATGGGCTCTGCAGAGAAAAACTGAACCTTTTCCCCTAATTATACTATCCCCTTGCTCCACAGCACTGCACATATTTACTATCATTATATTTGTCAAAATGTATCAACCCCACCACACCTGCCAAGGGATACAGATAGGTATATTTTTTTTCCCCACCTACTTTTACCTATGCTTCAACAACTACCTGTCAAATTGTTTCAAACGTCTCTGAATCAAAAAGTTCAGTATTTCACCAGTGAGGCTACTAAACACCACCTGTGTACTGTCCAATGTAATAAAACTGTAATGCACAAATGCTACCATCTGAGAAGCCATATGCTGAAGGTCTGCCCCTTTTTACCTATGATCTGCTCTGACTGTA